CTTTCATTGCTTTTTTATGTAAGTGTGGTAATTATTAGCAAATTTTTTTTGAAGTAAAGGATTGTTAGGACATTATGCTAAGTGATATAAGCCAGGTGCAGAAAAGCAAATACTACGATCTCATTTATATGTGGAATCAACACAGTGAGACTCATAGAAACAGAGAATAGAGATTGCCAGAGGCTGGGGAGAGGGAGAAATGGAGAGATGAGAGGCAAAGGATACAAAGTTACCGTTACACAAGATGAGTAAGTTCTGGAGATATACTGTACAGCCCTCATGCTTTCAACATGTGCTGTTCCATTTTCTTGAAATGCCTTCCTTTTTTCTTTATCAAAAGAGTCATGACCCAGCTCAAATGTTCCCTATTTTGTGATGTGTTTCTTCAATTTCCCCTTAATGTCTCCCAAGTGAAATAACTCATTTCATCTACTGTGCTCCTATAGAGCCCTATGCCCATGACCATTGAGCTATACTGTTATGATTGGCTCAAATCCATTCTGCTTGTTGGACTTTGACACTAAGATTCTAGTTCAACAAATATGTTGTTTTCCTTTCAAGTTTCAGGGAAAGTGGTAGGTACAGGGGATATATGGATGACTATGATACGATTTTTGTTTTTTTGAAAAGTATGCAGGTACTGATAGAAATAGGCATGGAATTGGATAACCTCAATGCGCCGTGCAATGTACAGTTACAGAACTATGCTTAAAGGAGTATAAGGCATAAATAAAAGGGGCCTTCACCTAGGTTTGGATGGGAGGTATTGAGATAATGCCCAGCCAAACCTTGAAGGGCAAGCAAAAATTAGACCACAAAGTGAATTTGAAGAAGGAATGGTATTTCATATAGAGGAAAGGCCTAAAAAAATACTGCTGAGGCATGATACCACGGGTGTGCACTGGTGGGGGAATATAAACTTTTCCATATTACTGGAGAACAAATTAGCACATAGGAGGTAGGAACAAATGAGGCTGAAGAGGGATGTGTGTCATAGTGGTATGAGGGAAGCTTGGAGGAGACTTGTCTACATTGCTAGAGAACTGGGGCTGTCTTAGACGCAGAAGAAGACTTTGCAGTTGTTCATGTAGAGGGATCATGGACTCAGGTAAGGGAAAGATTGTTCTGACTGTAGTGTAGAAAAGATCATAAAGGAGTCTGGGAGCAAGGCTGTGGCAATATGTGTCTGAAAGAGATGAGGAGGTCTGAACTCCAGGACGATTCTACAGAGCTGCAACTAAAACACTGTCTTCCATAGGTGTGCATTGCATCGTTGTTGAATGAATGAATGAGTGAATGAGTGACTGGATGATTTTTAAAAATTAAATTTTAACCAGCTTGTCTTATGCCATGAAAACTGTTACATTGAGACACTGTGTTATTATCACCAGAGTGGGCTTTTCAGTTCATCCTAATTATCTGTCCAATACTACATATAATCAGAATTTTGCAATTGGCTGTAAATCATGCATCCTAAATATAATGGCGTCCCCAAGAGGGCAAAAATTGGCTCATGGGAGAACCAACAAAAAATTAACTTTCTTTATGTAAAGCACAGATATAAGCAGTATATAAATGTACACAGTCTATCTGTGGTATTAAAATTTCATGGAGAAGGAGGGTGAGTAGGAAAAAAAATACTTTAAAAGGTTTCATAGGGGGGCAATAATGAAAATCCATTAAGAAATGCCACTCTAAGTAATTCTTGTAACTTCAGCAGCATATGCTAGTTTCAGTCCAGTGTATTGATTCTTTTTGTTTAACATAATTCTACTTAGGAATTTCTGAGTATTTGAGATTCAACTTGGCATCATGTTGACTTTAGGAAGTATATCTGAACCAAAAAATCGAAATATTTCCATGGCTCAGAGAATGGCGTTTTAAATATAAAACTCATATTGTGCCTGAGGACGACAAGCTATTCCAAAAGGACGTCCCATCCATCCTCCAAGCAATCTGTGTTAGAGAGAAATGGAGAAGCTCACTCTTGTATTCTCCTAACTTCTCTCCACGGGGATAATAATTAGTTTTTCTAAATTCAAGCCCAGGAATTTGAATCTAAGAGCATCAGAATGCATTTGAAGAGCTGTTTCTGTAATGGTCATGGTTCTAGGATGGGAATTTGGTTCTCAGGAACCTCCCGTGAGCTTGTACCCCAGGGATCCAGTGAACCAGTTACTCGGTTAAAGTTGGTACAGAATCAGCACTGGCCTCAAGGTCATTTATCAACTCCGCTCCTCCCATCTCAAGGTGAGAACATCTGTTGAACAACCATTCTTCCCAGGAAATGTGCTGGTTCTGATAACTTTTCCAAAAAGTATTTGCCTTTTTGAAAATGCCAAGGTAATACTATATTCCCAACAGAGATGCATCACCTACTCTGGCAAGTCCAGAAGGGAAAGTGATCGAATTCAAACCTGAGTGGCTGCACACACATAGCCGCAGCATCTGCCTTCCTAATGAACTTGAACATGCTCGTGTCTGTGCTGTAAGCATCCAGAGTTTTCATTTTAAGATAGGTTTCTCTTCTGAGACTGCTGCTGTCAGGACCAAATCTCTCCACTTGCCAGCCTATTTTGAAGGCCTTGGGTCTCTTAGATCCATCTTATGTTCCTTTAGAAGGAATTGGATCCTTCTCTATCTATCACCAGGAGAAAAATGTATGTGCTGAAAACCATGGATCAGAAATGTGAAGGTGTTAACCCACAGGATTAATGTCGCCCAAGGCAGCTGACCCACTTCTTCCCAGATGGGTTGCATTTATTTAAACTATACATGCTTTCTGAAGTATGGAGAAGTGCCCATGTATTACATTCCATGCTTCCACCACACCAGCTAAAGGGAGTATGGCTTCCTTTTTCCCCTTATTTTCATGACTCTATATGCCCCTGATTTTCCTCCTACTTCTCTTTTTCTTTTATTGAGTCAGCTTTTCTGCCCATCCCTCGAATGCTGCTGATCTTCAAATGTTTTCTCTTCTCCTTCTACAAAATCTTCCCAGGTAGTTTCATCTATTGTCATGGCTCTAACTATTCTATATGATGGATCTTGACAACTCTGTGTCCTGAATATCAGACCTGTACTTGACTGTCAACTGAGATCTCAACCCATATGTCCCAGAGTTACTTCAAATACTGCATGTCTCAGACTGAATTAAGCATGTTCATGGGAAAGCCTTCATTCCTATCTTCCCAAGATTAGTGGATGCTGTCCACTTTCCAGCATATTTCTAGAAATCTTGGCATAATTCATATCATTCATGGCCTCTTTCTCCTACCCCATCTACATCCAGCCCCACACCGATCAAATGTTGTCATTTTATCCCCTCAGCTCCTTTCACTATTGCTGCCATCACAACCTAAGCTACTGCCTCTGGACGTCTTCAACAGCAGCATGGCTGTGATTTCTGCTCCTGGTCTTGCTGTCTCCCACTCATTTGTCCTCACTAGAGATAAACCACTCTGCACAGATCACAAATCTGAGCATATTATTTCCCTGATTAAGAGCTTTCAGTTGTTGTGCATTTCTGAAAAGCCTTCCATCATCTGGTTCTTTCTTGCTTGTCCAACATTTTTAAAGCTTCCTTAATTTGTATGATATAACTTCTTTGAGATTCTTACCTGCATTATTCCCTCTTCCCCCTCTGCTCTTCTCTCTCTCCTTCCCTCTCTATCTCATCCAGGAATTTAGGGTCCACATGTCTTTCTTCTGTCTGCCTGCATGTCCTTCTCCAGGTACACATCATACTCCTGTCAATGAATGAAGAAATGGTATTTCCTCTGCCTCAAAGTGCATGCATTATCCTTCACCCCCATTCCTACCTTTACTCCACTAAATCTTCCTAATCCCTCAACATTAAGGGAGCATGTTTCTGAAAATTTACCTTGACCTCTCAGGCTAGGCTAGGTGACTCTCCTCTATGCCCTCATGGTCATTAATCATCTTTTATTATGAAAGTCAGATCACACCACACACCTGCTCTTCCTAAGACTCCCCATTTAGTTCAGAGTGAACCTCAAAGCCCTGATGAAGGCCTACATTGCCTATGGGATCTGCTGTCCTTTCTCATTACCTCTCCAAGATTGTCTTTTACTACTCTCCCCTTTCTTTTTACAAGCTTAGGCATCCTAGCCCTTTAGGGCCATGGTAGTAGCTGGAATGTTTTCCCGAGATATCCACATGACTAACTCCCTTGTCTCCTTAGCACACGTGTCCCTTTAGCGATGAGACCTGCTAAATCACCCTATTTTAAGTTGCAATCTGCTCTGCTCTTCTCCACCTGCACACTCCTAATTCTTTTTTTTTTTTTTGCTTCATTTTTAGAGCACTTACTTCTATCAAAGGATATAATTTATTTATAATTATTTTTTATTGTTTGTCTCTCCTTATTAGAATGTAAGCTCCACACAGATCGATGTCTTTAACTGCTTGGTTCACTCAAGTTTTCCTACTGCCTCCAGTGGTGTATAGAATATAATAGGCAGTCAGTAGATGTATTTAAAAGATAAGCCCTGGTTGCCCTACATTAAAATTTGTGTCCTCATTTATCTGCCACCACCATGCACTATGAATGCAGGGGTTTGCTCATAACTATATTCATTTATGATATCTAGCACATTTCCTGAAAACAGTGGGCTCATAGTAATATTTGCTAAGTGCATGTATTTATCTCTGGCCTTACCATCCCATAGCTTCACAGGTTTGCCATCACGCTATGCCAAACTAGACTCTGTTCTTAGTGGAGAAATTTCACCACAGATTCCCATAGCCTATGATAGACCCCAAGATGAAAAGCCCAGTAGGGGCCAAAAGAGAGAATATTCCTGCATAGTCTCTTCAGAGGTTAAGAATTTACCATTGTCCATTTGGTTTTTTCCTCCATTCTGTATATTTGGAGCATTTATTTTAATACGTTAGGAAACCAAAGGGAAGCCTGGGAAGTGTGGGCTCGGATAACAGTGCCTCGCCCTCTGTGACCCATCTCTTCCCTCCCTTCTCAGAGCTCTCCCTTCCATGATGCAGTGGGTCTGCGCCCAGAAGCCGGGGGAGAGCGGCATCAACATCATCACGGCTGACTTCGTGGAACTTGGCGATTTCATCAGCACTGTCATAAAGCTCAACTACGTCTTTGAAGAAGGAGAAGCCAACACTTGATAGGACCATTTGGAGCAGCCATGAGTAAGAGAGAGAAGAGTCCTTGTATTAGGCATAGTATCTATAAACACTCTGATCTATTCCACTGAATCTCTGAGGGGATTAGGGCTGGTAGTGGGTGGGCAAGGGGAAACCACTTCTTCAGTGATTATCATAATACTCCGCATTACTATAAACATTTCATTTCCCATTTGATGAGCAAAATCTACTCGTGCTAGGGATAAACAAGACCGGTGGATTTTGTTTTTCAGAATTAGTCTTTCTAGTGTATAACTCATGAGTGTTTACTTGCTTGCATTTCTGATTTCAAGGTAGGGCTCCTACACTGTCTGTATCCTCTATCTGAACCTTACTGCGCCCTCTCTTGCTCGCTGTTTTTAATCAGATGCTGTATGGGACTCGAAATAATTGAATACCCTACATAATGTGTATTACATTGTTGTACTAAAATTTATTTGTTTTGTGGGACTTGGTGTAATATCCTGTAGTCATCTGCAATTGGGCAATCATCACTAACTTTTGACCATAGAAAATATGCATCCAATAAGTTTCCCTGTATCATAATATTAGAGGCCATAATCAGTGGTTTTTGTGTTTTAATAAAATAATAGTGTTTCACAGTATTTCTGTTTAAGGCAGCTATAAATATAGAGTAAAAACTTTTCTGGAAGAACTACTAGTGCCAACTCCATAGTGAGAAATGGGGGGAGGGGGTGAAGATGGAAGCCATTTTAATACGGTACTCTCTTAAATTATATGGCCCAGCAAGTGCTCAGTAAATAAAAGACTTAAATTAAAATCAGAAAACTGAAAATAACTCTTATAAAAGCTCTCCTAACAATTCTCTTGATTAAAAAGAAAAGAAGAAAGAAGTGAAAGGTTGTTCAAGCTTTCCTACCAAATTGGGATTTCCCAATGCATATTTTCTAAATTCCAGATTCTGAGGGAAAAATTTCAAGAAGCTTTGATTCAAGGATTTTACTTAGAGCTGAGGAAGGAGGAAAGATAGCAGAAAGAGTTGGAACAATACTTTTGAAATTATGTCCATAAACCTCAATGATGCATGAAACAGCTTTAGGTGACCCTTACATACATGTGATCTGGGCAGGCTTATTGAAAATTGGTAATGACTCATCACTTCTGGATTCCATCCTGTGCCAAGGTCAAGATTGAGGCAGAGGAAAAAGCTCCACAGGAAATTTCTGTGGTCCAACATTTGATAGTTAAGGTCTATGGAGAAGAAAAATATTATAAATTTGAGCCTTTCGGTATTTCTGTGCTAATATGACATCTCTAAAGTAATCTTGAGAGAGCACAGTAACCCTTACTCATGTGTTTCACAGGAATATATCGTGAGACATTTTTAAAAATCTACAAATTAATGAAATTCTTACAATTTTGAACTATTTTATCTTCATGTTTAGAAGTAATCACACCCTAATAGTCTCCTGGGAAAATGAAGTCCATGTGAAGTGGGGCCATAGAAAAATAAAAGCATGCCCTCAGTTTTTAATGAATTTAATGTAGGGCATGTTGCTTGATCTCCTAGACCTAGATGAGGGAGTTGACTCCAAGATTATGTATGTGAAGATTATAAATAATCAAAAGTTGATGACAAGATTATAAATACTCATCACAAAATACTATTTATTAGCAACTGCAGGGAGGAAATAGACATTGTTTATACTGAAGAGAATGTTTATGAAAAGTGTAAAGATATGCTTAGTAGACCAAGTAGCATGCAAATACATGCAATAGATATATTCTACATTCCAGTTTGTATGTATGTCCTGCCATATGCAGTATACCAGTGTATACCCATTCCTGCAGGCAGGCAGACAAAAATACACACAAACATACACAGACATGGACCGACACTATCACATTTCTTCTTTTCAAATGAAAACATCAATAATATTAAATGCTTTACTTTTAAAACAGAAACCCTTAACAATGTATGAACAAAAGTGATAAGGTCTTTGAAAGTAGAGTAGCTGGTCATATTCAAATATTTTTGTAAAAATATTCAAGCTTGGGACCTAATTATTTACAAATATAGTCTTCTTTCCAGTCTCCCTGCCCTTGCACTTTATTGTCTTTCTATCTCTTTCACTTGCTCTCTACATGAATCCTTTCTAAAGGACTATTGATCATTGAAATTTATGCCCTGTAAATTTGCTTTGTGGGCATATTTTCTCTGACTATTCATTATTCATCCCTCAAGAGGATCTTTAGCCAAGCACACTTGCTATGACAAGGATTTAACTTATAAATATGACAGAAAATAGGTCTTTCAACATATTAATGAAAAACAAATAAAATATAGAGGTAACTATGTTGTATTTTCTTGAACTTAGACGCTTTCTTATAATGTTTGCTTAGAATTACCTTTGTCATATTTGTCATTTGGGTGCTGGAGAAACAAACATGCTGAAGCATTAGTCTGTGCATTTTCTTAACTGAGGAAAGCTTTTTATTGCTATTAGCGATATGCACACAGAAACCTTGTTTGACAAAAGGTACTTTCAAGTCAATGTTACGGTTGCCATGTAAGCATACAGTACCAATGTAGCAGGCATTGAGAGTAAATGGACTTGCCTTAATTTCTAAAGGAGGGAGCAGGTGGGAGTGAGCCACAGGTCCTCCATCTTGAGGGAGAGGTCACTAGGAGGGATTCCTTGAAGAAGAGAATGGAGAGAAGGTGGCTTTGGCTGTCTTCTGTCCATTGGCCCTGCCCTGGAGCACACTTACGGAGCAGGCTGTGGGCCTTAAATTAAAAGGGTGGGGGGGTCAGGACTGGTGTTAAGCAATCAGAGTTTGCCCTCAGTCTGTGCTTCTTTGTCATAGCTGGGCATTCTTTCCAGATAGCTAGGAGCACAAAGGCTACAAAAAGGTCCCAAGATGGTAGGAGATACATCTTGGTGGACTTTTTGTTTTGCATGTTTCTTAAGACTTTATGTCATGAGTCTTGCAAAGCAAAAAAACAAACAAAATCCAACTTTTACCCAGTCTACAGCAGGAAATCAAAGAAGTGGAAGGGATGAAGGAAAATAAGCACAGTATCATTGTTTGGTTGGTTTTCTTGTCTGTCATTTTGAAGGACCAATGTGGTGAATACTCCCGCCATTATCATTTACGTCTCCCTTATTACTACACAATCATATGAATGCAGAGAGATGAGGAGGCATCTTTTAAAAGCCTTAGGATATTCTACTGATGACCTCAATATTCACTTTCAGCCATACTGGGAAAACTCACTTTTCATGGAGTGCCACCTAACAGTGAATGTATTAGAGCATGAAGTGTTTGGCATGTATGCACCTATGTGTGTACACATATGCAAACACACACATATACACACACACAGCATGCACATCTCACACACGCACACATTATTCAATTTGAAACTGCAGTCTAATCACCCAACCTGATTCTGTGGCCATCAACTTTGAAAATCAATATCTCCTTTGTTAGTAGGCATAAACATAATTCAAATATTTAAATATTTAAGAGGATAAAAATCACTAGAAAACCAATGAAAAATGAAACCATAAATAAGAAATGCCTAGCAGTCATAGTCTAAATACATCGTCAATTATACTGAGAGCTGGCAAATTGAAGATGGACTTGAATATAAATTACAAGCACTCATGTTCACTTGTTTTAGCCAGGGATACCTGTTCAGGTTCTTTCCTGTTAGGATTCTAGACTGGGAAGTTGGAAGTCTCAGGAAATGCACGTTTTCACGAGTTTTTTAGTTCTACAGTTTTACAGATGCAATGATACCATCTTCTAACCTTTGGTCCCTCATCCAAATGAGAGCTCCATAGGTTGAATGCTTGCATTTTGAATTGCTGACTGAAAATAATGCAGTGTCCTCTCAGGATACGCTAAGCAAGATTTTTAAAACTATTTTATTTTATAGCACTTTAGTCTTTTCAATTAGATTTCAGTGACACAATCGTGTAAATGCTGTATTTGCCATAATTTATAGGTGGCTCCTGTGTTACATACAGTTTTAAATAATGCTCTGAATTGTTTGTTTTCCCAATGACAATGATAAAAATGTTCTTCAGAATTTGTAAAACGTGTTGATGGAATCTGTTGAAAATTGTGTCATTTTTATTTTATTTGTGATACTATTGTGTGGGTATTAGTTCTAAATGTACATTTGTATGAGTCACAAGTATGTGCTTGTATATGGTTTGTGTGTGTAAGTATATTGTATCTTATCAAAAATTAAACTTATCCTAAAGAAAAAGGGCACATTGTGACCAGGCTTAATTCATTGCCATTTTATGTTGTTGCAATCTGGGATTAAAATTTAAAGAGAGATTATGTTTTTATTTAAAATGGCCTTTATTTTTGTTTAGATCATAGGAGGAATGTCCTTTAGAGCTTATCTGAGTTTCCACAAGCAAACTATCCAGCTTGTGGAGCACCCAGTGCTTCTCAAATGTCTCAAATGTCAATTAATTTATTAACTTCATTATCCTGCAAAGAGATTAAATTAATATTCATTTCCATCAACCACAGAACCAATGCACTTTTAAAGCTGTTCTTCCAAACCAGGAACCCATTTTGCTTGTAATGATAAGTTTTCCATGAAAAAATTGTTTCTCTAAAGCATGACTTTTTAAAAATTGGATCTTCTCAGGTAAGATGAACTGCCTTGGCTCAGTGAAAGTTGCTAAAGGCCCATCAACATTAGGTGGTTCCAACATGGTTCCCTTATCAAAACATGATCATGAGCACTCTTCTACACTTCCGCTATCTGCCTACATGTAGAATAGCAATAGAAAATGCATGTACAATTCAAAGATCTGTACAGATTGTCATGCTCAAAGCAAAAACTCTGTAATCGCCTTGGGCCTTGGGTCTGGGTATGGAATAGTAATCAGTCTCCTTATTTCCTCTCTTTCTCCATTCTCAATTATTTCTTTTTCACACTTGGGGTTGCCAGATAAAATACAGGATACCCAGTGAAATTTAAATTTCAAACAAACAATAAATACTTTTTAATATTAGAATTTCCCATCTATTTTATGAGATAATCCATCAGCCCTCTCCTTCCAACCTCTCTTTTTCAGCTGGGCTACCTATAAAAGGTGAGATCCTTCTTCCTTCCACACCATTATGTTAGATATCTCACAAAATTCTATAGCCCTAATACCCTTCATGAAAGAAAATGCTGATCTATGCCAACCTCCACAAATGCTTTATAAAGGACCAACTCAAATAGATGGAATAATTAAGCAATTACCTTTATGAGATTAATACCACCACATTCAAAATTTCCCTTCACTGGCCTGTTGGAAGAGCCAGAATCTTCCCCATTAATCCTTTAAGTAACATTTCTCCAGTAATTGGGATGATGAGAAACACACCCACACATTAAACATGCCACTGGAAAGTGGTGGCACCTTCTAACTCAGGACCAGGACCTCTTTTAAAACCGAACTGCTCTTTCTTTCAGAGGGGTAACAAACTAATCCACTACTCCTCCTAGTAACACCTTCCCACAGGTTATTTTTTATCAGATTAGAACTGGTCAACTATGAAACTGTAGAAAATTTGACATAGAAAAGACCTCTCCTGACTGCCTGAGGGAAGAAGAGTCTGAAGTATAGACACATTCCTGTCGGTGGATCCTGAGGAGACCGGGCAGGAGCTGGGGGCTGGGTGGGGAGTGGAATATGGTCCCTGTCAATGAACGAGCACCTGACAGAGATTTGCCAAAGCAAATTATAACAACCAGCACTTGTTCTGAGGAACTGGAGACTTGACACCCCAGAGTAAGAACAGAATGATCTACAGCCAGTTTCTAGAACACTTTGTGGAGAATACAACCATGTTGGAATTCCTAAAATAGAGTTTTCAAATACTGCTATACCCCACAATGAATCCTTGGCATAGTCTGAATGTGGAAGGAGTTTTGGAACAGTTTTGGTACCTATCCCCTCTCTTCAAATTCCTGTAAGTGATAAGAAAACCCAGATTCGGTCATAGAACATCTCCATCTCATGCCCTCACTTGCACATATTTGTGTTGATTTGTTTCATTTCCAAAGGATGGGGATTTGCAGAGCTGGTGACATTTCTTTCATTAGACACTAGAAATTCACCAGAGGGAGACAGATCTGTGCCTTCTCTTTTTAGGATCTGGTCACTGATACTTTAATAAATGTAGTATAAAGAAAACACACACCTACTGTTCTGTTTAGCTAGTGTGAGTTTTTTGATAAGATTGTGTTCTTACTGTAAAAAAAAGTTTCTTTGTATCCAGTGAAATGCCTAATAAAGTCCTGGTACCAGTTATCTTTATTTTTTTTATTTCATATTCATAAGTGCTTCATTATAAGCCCAAAAGTGGCCTCATAAATGGGACATGACTCAGAGCATCAGAAAATATCATTCTTTTTAAAAAGCATGAATCATAATATGAGGATTTCCTCTGTGAAAGAATATATTCTCCACCAAAAAAGGCATCAAGTTTGGCTATCTCTGAAGCCTGATACTCTTAGCTTCTGATACAGGCACCAAGAATACCAACATCAGTACAGCTATGCCATATTAATATAGTATGTTAATATTATAAAACACCATCTCAAGGCTAAAAAGCTTAGTGTGAAGGAAATCTATTTTGCTGAACCTCCACTATGCCCAATGTACAAAAAGCTATTTCAGAAATGAAATTGCCTTTGGATTTCATCAAATAAACCCTATGTATTGCAGTTTAGATCAGTCTTAAAATGAAAGCATTGTAATTTTATTATGAAGGCAATCTAGCAAAAAAATGTGATCCAAGACTATTTTGGGAGTTGGACTGGGACCTAAGTCCACCAAAACACCATGCTTTTTATATGCATTAGTAGGTTCATGACAGAGGATTTCTATTTATAAAGTTGTAACAATTTCCACATTTATGAAATAATGTATATCTGCAAATATTACTACACATAGTCATATCTCTGTCCTTAACATAACATTGCTATAGTTAGTTATCAGAGCCATTGTTCATTTATTCAGTTACTCAACAACCATCTGCCAAATGCCTACTATATGGCAGGCTCCTTGCTAAGCACTACAAATCATTTCTAAAATGTTCCTTAAGAAAATGGATGAACAAAAGACAAACAACAACAAATGTTGGTGAGGTTGCGGAGAAAGGGGAACCCTCCTACACTGCTGGTGGGAATGTAAATTAGTTCAACCATTGTGGAAAGCAGTATGGAGGTTCCTCAAAAAGCTCAAAATAGAAATACCATTTGACCCAGGAATTCCACTTCTAGGAATTTACCCTAAGAATGCAGCAGCCCAGTTTGAAAAAGACAGATGCACCCCTATGTTTATCTCAGCACTATTTACAATAGCCAAGAAATGGAAGCAACCTAAGTG